AAACATGTTTATCTCACATAATATCGAAGTATATAAATATATTTACATTTATTGATATATATATATATATATATATATATATAATCAAAGTATAGTTTATATTTTAGTAGGAGTCAGATTAATTTTAATAAATGATTGACACAAAATATTTGTCAAATCACTAAAAAGTGTTAATATGAAATAGGCAATTAACAAAAGCAAATTGATTAGAAAAATTTATTCTCACAGTTTCTCATAGAACCATACAGATTTGTGCCCCGTGAGCAAAAAGTTTGATGCGACATAAACAATTAACATTAACAATCTCACTGTGTGACTTGTGCAATCACCGAACCATAATTTGTCATACATGTTTTGTCACAACTCACAAGTCACACCAGTAAAATTTGATGACATATGTGATTATCGGGCTCCGGTGATATAATTTGGATGGTTTTAAAAGTTTTGGTAAGTAAGTCAATTTAAAATAATTGTGTTTATGTGATATTTTACTTATTTAAGTTTCACCGCCTTAAATATTTTATGCATGAGATAAGTGTTATATATCATTGGTGAATGTGAATGAATGAATTTAAAAATAGTAAACCTTCATTGCATGTGGTTTGATAATATAAAAGAGATAAGATAAAATTTATCTTATCTATTCAGTATTGAGAGAAAAAGGAGAGAAAAGTTGCGGTGTGTGTGTGAGATCTTGTGAAAGACTGCGTGAAGTTGATTCTGTGATCATATTTGGAAACTGTTGTTGTGAGATTCATTCTTGTATACGTGAATATAAGGTGAGTTTTTGTTATTAAATTTTCTATGTTTAGTATTTGAAATACTTGAACTGGTTGGTGTTTATGTGGAAGAAAGGTAAACTGTTTTTTAAGCTGTTTTGAGTTGAGAAAGGTAAACTGTTCTTATAAGTTGTTTAAGTTGATATTGAAACTGGATTTAGAACTTTGAAAGTTCTTGATAGAAAGTTTTTGTGATAAAACTGTTTTGATGTCATTCTTGGCAAAAATGATAGATTTGATTACGTTTTATGAGGGAATGAGAGTGGCATATCAAGGAGAGGTGTAACATGGGATAAGAGTGACATATCAAAGAGAGGTGTACCATGGGATAAGGATGACATATCAAGGAGAGGTGTACCATGGGATAAGGGTGGCAATTATGAAATCTGAGTTTTGATCATAACTCTTGTTATCACATCCATGAGATGCAATGATTCTGAGTTATCATTTATGTGTGATGTGAAGACTTGAAATTATTGTTCTTATTGATATGATAACAATGATGTTGTGCAGAGGAGGAAAATGGCTTATAGCCAGAGACTTTAATTGCATGTGTTTCAAATAAACAATGTTTTTGGGATATTGGATATTACACTTCAAATTGTTCAAAAGGGTAAAGGTTTGATGAGAACCTAGAGGGGCTCTGGTAGGTCTTAATGTCTAACCAGAAGGCCTTTTTGGTTGTGATGTGAAATTTGTTGGGTTTTTTTGTTAGTCGTGGGTCATGTTTGAATAAGTCCCTGCCAGGGTGTTGATCTCAGATCTCTCAATAACACTAATAATCCAGTTAAGAATAACCAAATTATAGCATTTTAATGAACAAAATGATGAACTCTCAAGAACAATGTATGAACATTCAAAGAGCAATCTTGTGTGCCAATAAATTCACTTTATTCAATCTGAAAACGTAAAAGCGACAAAGTTTACAATAGGCCTAATCACCTATTTATACTAGAAGACTAATTAGAAGATAACTATCTAGTGAGACTATTTAGCTAATCTTCTACTAATGGATAAAGTTTATCTAAACTATGGATAAGCTATAAATTAAGATAAACTTGAAATCCAGCTGTCGATTTGTCATCTCCAGCTGTCTTTCATGGGATGATGATTCAACCTTATATTCATTTCTTCATCGTATGCTTCTGGTTGTATTGCTGAATAAAACTCTAAGTGTGGTTGACCAGAGGACTGATGAAAATTCTCTTTCCATCGCATCTCTGGTTGTTCATCGATCATCCGGTTGTTCTTCAGACTTAGTCATTTCTGCCTTATCGTCTTCATCGATCTTCTGGTTCTTCATCACTTATTGTTTTTTTTCATTAGTTTTATACTTATTCATTATGGGGTCTAACAATCTCCCCTAAGTAATGAAAGAACAAACATAAACTAATCAATGAACAGAATCGAAGAATAGAGACTAATCTAAAGAAAAACATCGAATTCCAAATTTTCATTGGATGATGAATTCTTACAGTAATGGAAACAGAAATTTATAACAAGGCAAAAATTTGAAAACTCCATTCATGATCTACCTTGAGATATATCCCAGAAGCGCAGGAGCAGTCTTCGATAACTGAGGACTGTCGATATCTCATGAATGAATTGATTCCCATCTTCTCTTAGCACATGAGATCTGCCCAGTCTCTCTCTGATGACCTTCTGAAACCACTGAAGTGTATCGGTTGAATACTTGAAGGCTTCAGTTAGTCTGAAGAATTTCTTTACCCCGAACTCATTCTTGAAGACAAGTCTAAGCTCAGGTTGAGTTAAGACAGAGGCAGATCTCTTCTCCTGCAGGCCAGGAAAGTCTTCATTCGGTGGGGTGCAGGAGAGTCTTTCGATACCCAAATATAGAGCAATTTGAAAATCACTCTTGGCTCTGTGCATCACCAGGGTCTCCATCGTCTTCACTATCGCTCTGTTTGCCACCCCAAATCTAATTCCTTGATCATGTCGCTGAGCTGTGAACGCATAAAGTTCGATCAAGTCGTAGGGGTTGAGATTGATCAAGTCATTGTCGTTGAAGACGTTGACCTGACTGTGAGCTCTTTCCACCGTGTACTCGATGTATCTTATTGCTCTGTTGGYKAAGGTCCTYATTTTTATATCCATTACCCTCCTTATCCCATCGTTTGAGAAGGCAACTTGTGGTGGTTGGGTAGTCTGTCTAACAAATCGATGATGTAGGAGGTCCATGGATTCTAATGAAAGAACTAGAGGATTGAGGGACTAGCTTTCATCGCGATCGTGGTACATGTATTGATGGATATTCTCCATCATGATGGGTTCCCTTGGTGGTATCTCTGGACGTCTCCTTAGCGACTCCATGTTCTGTATTATTTCATCGACTAGGCTTTGCGGAGGATGCCTAGATGAAGAGGGAATGTCCGCTTGCACCGTGGTTGGTTCGATTGGGGGTGTGTTTGGGTAGAGGGTTGTGTATCGATTGGCAAGAGGATGGTTTCTTGGGTTGTCTCAGGTTCATCGGGTTGGGTGATGAAAGGTTGTTTATTGCGAGGGGTTGGTGATGGGGT